CAGGGGGCTGCTGCTGCTGCAGCAGAGCTGCTGCAGCAAAGCGCTGCTGTTTGTGCTGCTATTGCGGGGCCTGGGGAGCTGCCAGTTGAAGAAGTCAAAAACAGAAAGTGTAAACCCTAAACCCTAAACCCTAAACCCTAAACCCTCGGCGTTGCCTCTGCTGCCTTAGGGCCATTTTATTGTTGCATGCGCACATGCCCATTTATTTCTCATTTATTTATTTAATTAAATTAATTAATTAATTTATGTAATTAATTAATTAATTAATTAATTTATTTATTTATTTATTTTTGTTTTTAGGTTTATTCTCTTTGCTCGAAACTTTTTGTTGGCTTCCGTCATTGGCCTCAACTGAAGATGCATTTTGTCAAAGAGTAATTGCTGCTGCTGCTGCTGCTGCTGCTGTTTCTGCTGCTGCTGTTGTTTGCAGGGTTTTTGCTGCTGCTGCCGTTGCTGCTGCTGTTATTCGTGCTGCTGCTGCTGGGGCTGCTGCTGTTGCTGCTTGCATGGCTGCTACTGGTGCCGCTCTTACTGCTGTGTTTGCTGCTGTTGCTGCTGGTGCTGCTGCTGCTGCTGCTGCTGCTGCTTCTGTTGTTGTTGCTGCTGCTGCAGATACTGGTGCTGTTGCTGCTATTTGTTGCAGCTCCGTTACTGCTTGTGCTGCTGCCGATACTGCTGCCTTTGCTGCTGCTGCTGCTGCTGCTGCTACTGCTTGCTGCTGCGTGCTTGGCTCTGCTGCTGCGGGTTGTGCCCCTCCCTTTTGCCAGCAGCCGATATTGTTGCTGCTGCTGCTGTTGCTGCTGCTGCTGCTGCTGCTGTGTGCTTTAGATGTGGCAGCAAACAGCTCCGAGCAGCAAAGACGGTCGAAAGATTATCAGGCCTCGCGGTCCGAAACCCTAAACCCTAGACCCTAAACCCTAAACCCTAAACTCTCTAATTTTTTGTCTTCACCCTCCCCTTCTGCTAATACTAAAATTTGCTTTCCCTGCACAGTGGTTATAGGCAGCGCCTGCTGCAGCTGCTGCTGTTGCCATAGCTGCTTCTGCGGTTGCTGCTGCTGCTGCTGCTGCTGCTGCTGCTGCAGGGAACTTGCAGTTTGTGGTGGAGCATTTTGCTGGCCCTGTGGTTTACAACTCTGCTGCTTTTGCTGCTGATGACGCTGACGCACTCTCTGATGGAAAGCTGCTGCTGCTGTTGCTGCTGCTGCTGTTGCTGCTGCTGCTGTTGCTGCAGCTGTTTTTGCTGATTTTCTTGCATTTACAGCGGGATGAGAAGCAGCTGCTGCTGCTGTTGCCATTACTACAGCTATTGCTTCTGCTGTGGCTGCTGCAAGTGCTGTTCGCATTGCTGCTGTTGCTGCTGCTGTTGCTACTTCTGCTGCTAGTGCCGCTGCTGTTGCTGCGGGTGGTGTTGTTGTTGCTGCTGCTGCTGTTTGCATGAAAAGCTCCTCATCTACTTGCTGCTGTTATTGTCTGCTGCTGCATCATCAGACGTGGAGCGGCTTCTCGCTGCATCGACAAGTGCGTCCCTGTTGCTGCTGCTGCTGCTGCTGCTGCTGCTGCTGCTGCTGTTAGCTGCCTTTGAAGGGTGCAGCAGCACAATTGCGTGAAGCAGAAAGCTCCTTTCAGCAGCAAAGTGAAAACAGAGGAAGCAAACTTGAATGGTTTTAATTGATACTGGAAATTGCTTGAAAAGCTGCTTCAGATTCTGAGGTGTATGTACACCTCAGGCTACTCGCTGCTGCTGCCTTCCTTTTCCTTTTCTGCTGCTCGCCGGTCCCTCAGCTGCGCTTTTGCTGCTGAGATGAGGGCCCTCGTCAAAAGCCTCAAACAAACAGTAAGCAGCAGCAGCAGCAGCAGCAGCAGGAGCAACTCTAGCAGCAAAACGTGCAGCAGCAGCAGCAACAGCTGCAGCGGCAGCAGCAACAACCGCAGCAGCAGCGACTCTTGCAAAAGCGGTTGCTGCAGCAGCAGCAGCAGCAGCAGCAACTGCAGCAGCAGCAGCAGCATTTGTGTTGCGTTCAGGCCTGTTCTTTCATTCGGTGTTTTAAAGCAAATGAAAAAAAAGAAGAAAACAGATTTGATGTTTCTGTGGTGTACAGACAGCTGCGTAGCAGGCAAGTGGATTTTGAAGAATTTATTTTTTTAATTTTTTATTGTTTTATTTTAAAATTAATTTAAATTAATTCATTTTCTTTATATTGGCGAATTCAATTTATCAAATTAATTAATTTAATTAATTTAACCAACTGAATTGATTCAATTTATTCAATTTATTTAATTAATTAATTCAATTAATTTTATGAATTCAATTAATTTGATTAATTTGATTAAACTGGTTAATTTGATTAATTCAGTTAATTGACTTAAACAAATAAATCAAATCGATTACATTGACTAAATTAATTTAATTAACTAATTTAATTAATTAATTCGATTAATTAACTAATTTAATTAATTTAATTAATTAATTAATTAAATTAATTTGATCAACTTAATTAATTTGTAGTTAATTTAGTCAAATTGACTAAATTAAATTAATTAAATTAATTCAATTAAAAGCAAAAACAAATAAAAGTTGAAATTAAACAAACAATAAAAATAAATAAAAACAAATGAGACAAATAAAACAAATGAAAGAATAAAGGAATAAAAGAAATAAGAGGAAATAAATAAAAGAAATTGAGCAGCAGCAGCAGCAGCAGCAGTGGGTGTGTTTGCTGCAGCGGCTCTGTTGCTGCGCTGCGGGTCCTCAGCAGCGGCTGCTGCTTCCGATTTTCCTTTTTTGAATTTT